CCAGTTTTAGTCCGGTTCAGTCCAATACAGGCCAGTTTAGTCCAATAGAGGGCCAGTTTTAGTCTGTTTCAGTCCAATACAGGCCAGTTTAGTCCAATACAGGCCAGTTTTAGTCCAATACAGGACAGTTTTAGTCCGGTTCAGTTCAATATAGTCCGGTTCAGTTCAATATAGTTCAGGCCACTTTAGTCCAATAGAGGGCGGTTTGAGTCCAGTTGAGGCCACTTTTGTTCAGTTCAGTCCAATACAGGCCTATTTAGGCCAATTCAGTCCAGTTCAGGTCGGTTCAGTCCAATACAGGCCAGTTAAATCCAGTGTATTCCAGTAGAGTTCAATTTAGCCTGACGGGGACAAAAGAGTCCATTAGACAGATCAGATATCTTAAGGAGCGCCAGTCAGAGGATGAAGAAGAGGATGACGATGACCAAGAGGATGGCGAGCAACACGCCTATTGCGCACCACTGACGGCGATCTGCAAAGACACAGAGACATTTAAGACCTTCCCGTCAGGACGGACTCAGTGATTCCCATGAGTGCTCCTTCCTGTTCTAGGGGCAGTGGCTGGAGCCCTCACAGATCCCTGCTACTTACACCAAATCCAGCAGTCCCCTATCAGCCCGAACCCCCCACCCCAGTAAACGCATTGTCGGGCAGATTACCGCTCGTCATGTGGGAGACTTTGGCCAGTTTCTTCATCACGTTGTCCAGCCGGGACTGAGTGCTGTCAATCTCATGGCCAAAGTCGTCCAGCATCCTGTGGGAATCACAGCAAAGAGCTTCATTTGTGCTGATAATCAAAACTTTGAAGCAAGTACAGGAGCCCAAAAGCAGCCGAAGACATTAAGTTACGGTCTTTATGCTGCCAGGGCTCCACATGAACCCGTTCCTGGTTCCCAGTTTTAGTTCTGAACTTTAAAAACGGATTAAAGCTGAACAACAGTTAACATTTAGATCACTACCTTCAGTGCCAGCAGATATACAGCCACTGAGTTCTCCGGGGAAAAGCCCGGCCCGTCCTGACTGAATGCACAGGAACCCTCTCAGGTTCCTCCACTGACCAGAGAAGTGCCCCGGCACGAGTTCAGGAAAGGTGGGGATCAAACTGTGTATTGAACTGAATAGCAGATGGCTGATGGCGTCTGAGGGCCTGATCTGGAAACCTGCTGGGTCAGGACGGGCCCATGAGGACCCCCGTACCGCCCACATCCCCTAAGAGCCCAGCTCAGTGGGCGGAGCCCCGCAGTATGATGCTTACACCGCCTGCTCATCCAGCTCCAGTCCGATCCGCTCAGACATGTTCTTCAGAACGCCGATGGTTCCGGACACCAGCTGGAGCTGCTCGTCCTGCTGCTCCGCGATCAGCTGAGACAAACAAGAGAGTTACCCACCCGCCGCGTCTGCTCTGGGGGGGGGGGGGGGCTCTGTACCTGCTGCTGGACCTGCTGCTCCTCGATAAACTGAGAGTTGGCGTTCTGCAGCTGCCGGTCCAGTCGGCCAAACTTATCCGGACCGGGCTGCCAGATGGGCCCCTGAGCGCCCCGCTCCCCGAGCAGAGCCTGAACACAACACAGAAGGTTCTGCCCAGAGCTCTCCGGAGCACGGAGAGAAGACGCCGTGCGCTGGTGAGCGCGAGTACCTGTCTGTCCCTCCCGTCTGCGCAGGCGGCCGGACTCGACATCTGATCCTTCATGTCCTTCAAAGCAAACCCAGAGCTCAGCGGCCAATCGCTGCGCGGCATTCAGACGCGTCGGCTAATCAAATCTCAAAGTGACTAGGTGGGAGATCCTCACCAATGGCAGAGCAGAATTGCACATGTGCGGTAACCATGACAACTTAAACTACTGGGAGGGCTCACCTTGACCGTGCTCCTGGTTCTGGTGATGAACGCTTTCCTCTTCGACAGCTCGGCGGTGTCCAGGTTGAACTTTTTAGGGTTTGACTCCACGATGCATTCAGGGTTAATTAAGAAATCATTCGAAACATTGCTGAGTACAGGTCACATGACAGTCACCGGTCAGGTCACGTGACCTCAGGACCAAGCCTCAAGGATATTGATGGTCTCGTCCAGGTCCTCCAGGTCCCATTCGATGGAGCGCAGGCTGTTCCTCAGCTCATTTGTTGTCCAGTCTATTTCCTCCTTGGAGGCTCCCACCCCCTCCTGCAGCAACTCCTTCCATCTCTGATGGAGGCTCTGCGCTGCGTTCACTGCCTTCTGCACCTCCCTGAAAGTTTACAGGACTCATTCACACACTCGTCTGAGGGACGTCCAGTGTCGGAGGGCACAGCAGAACCACATAAGACCCAGTCCAGAATCAGATCTGAGGCTCAGATCAGTGAAAGCTGGAGTTTAGAAACACCACAGATCACAATGAATGACCTCTGGTCTCCAGTCGGCCTCCAAAAAGATCTGTCAAACCCTCCTGAACCACCGACCAAAACCCTTCAGACGTCCTCGTCATTGTTTCCTATGAACAGAGGCTCACAGGAAACAACTTTCTAACGAATCCTGGACTCAGTGTTAACGGATAATCTGTCTTTGTCCAGGTGTGTCCGCCTCCGTCCAAACGGCAGCTGGACAGCCTCCGTCCTCTACTGCGGAGAATGGATGATGGAAACTGCAAACGTAGCTGCGTGCTAGCCAACTAAGTCTGTGAAGATCTGTGTTCTTAGAAGCTGGTACATGTCAGATAGCTAGTCAGCCTGCTAAGCGGCTACTTAACCTCATTAAACTGATATCAGACTGGATGACTTCAGGTTGCCAGGCGGTCCGGCCACCGTTGGGGTCCGGCCGCCCGCCGCCGGGTTAGCTCGGAACCACATTTCTTACCCTTTGACGACAAAGAACGGGTCTTCCATGGACATGCTTTCGGTTCAGTCCATTTCTCTGACTGCCGGATCTGGATACACGGTAACCGTAAAGGCTGGTTCTGGGAACTGGAGCAGCTAACCGGGCTTTGTTTACATGTAGCAGCGGAAACTGCCCAGTGACGTCACTCTTTCTTCTTCGACTGTACCTTTAGAAGTGAGTACTTCCGCCACCGTCCGGTGGAGGAAAAAGCTGCACCGAGAATCCATTAACAGTTTATTTACTTTCAGGGGTGCACAGAGACATTTTTGGTCTTGTTCTCAGGCGGGTTGCTTGGTCCTCACATTCTTAGATTCATTTTCCTTAACCCACTTCATAGAGAGAACAAAACAGATGGGTGGATATTGTAATATGTACTTTAATTTCAACTAAAAATGAAGAGAAGCAGCAGAGTGGGGCTTTCACTGCATCTTCACGGTATTGTCAGCCCGATTCTCTAGTTGGAAACCTGAGAATAAACCAGAGTGGATCAAAAGTATAAAAATGACATTTATTGGGTCACAGTTAGGTATATCAGCTTGGCTTTGACAGACGAAACTCTCTCTCTGGGTCTCAGTGGGCAAAGAGCCCTGAGATCTGGGTGATGGGCATTATCTCCTGGGCTCCATCCGCCTCCTCAAAGGAGGACTGGACACAACCAAGTCTTATTGGCCAGTTACCTCTGGGCACGAACAGGCCAGGTCCTAATTCATGCAGATGACAGGAATGTGCTAACAAATGGTGTGTGTTTGTTTGAACCTAAAGGTGGATCTAATGCAACAGAGAGAGAAAAAGAGAGAAAGGAAAAGAAAGAGGAGAGAGTCTGTGTTCACAGCCAGAGACTTCAACACAAAAAGTAAAGTTCTGAAAAGAATAAGACAATCAGTAATTAGCATAGATCATGTTATAACATAGTGTGCTAAAATGAGTAATTTTAGCACACTATGTATAATATGTATGAATGTATAATAGTAACGGTATATTCTGCTTCACGTATCTGTGTGTTGTCATTCGTTTGAAGATTAAACCACTGTAATCACTGGGGCCGGGCTGTTAATTAGAGCTCATTCAGAGGTTGAACCCCAGCATGGTGTCAGGGCTGGGAACAGCTATGAGAGTTTCTCAGAGGCAACATGGACCTGTTTTCCCAAAGCTCGTGGAGCGGTTGGCTGGGTCTGGGGATTGCCTCAATCCCCACCAAACCGATGTGTTGGCAGGGGGCGCTGTCGCCATGTCATAGTTGATTGACGTCACCTCATCCTTCAGTAGAAGAAGAAGAAGACGTATTGCATAAATATATTCAAATTTATACAGATGCGTCAAAAATAAATGGGAAGATAGGAGTAGCTTTTGTGGTGCCAGAATTCGGGGTAAAAATAGGAAAACGGAGCACAGATGGGTTATCAGTATACACAGGAGAAATGTTGGCAATATTGTTAGCATTGCAATGGGTGGAAGAAATAAAACCATTAAAAACAGTGATATGTTCAGATTCAAGCTCAGCATTATTATGTTTAAAAATTTTCAATCAGATAGTAGGATGGATATATTATTAGAAATATTTTATACATTGTATAGAATACAGAATATGGGGCTGGTAGTTATATTTGTATGGATTCCAGCGCATATAGGGGTAGAAGGAAATGAGAGGGCAGATAAAATGGCAAAAAGGGCAATACATAATAATATTAGTTTTAAAGTCAAAACAAGTAAAGCTGAGGGAAAGATAATGAAGAGTTTTTTAGAGAAAAACTGATGGAAAAATGGCAAAAAAGGTGGGATGAAGAAAAAACAGGAAGATGGTTTTATAAAATACAGAAGATAGTAGGAGAGAAAAGAAATGAAAGAAGAAATAGAAAGGAAGGAAGGGTGATAACAAAATTAAGATTAGGGCATACAGGTCTTAATTATACACTGTTTAAATTACAAAAGCATAATAATGGAAAGTGTGATTATTGTGACAGATATGAAACGATAGAACGTGTTATGTTAGAATGCCATAAGTATAAAAGAGAAAGAAGGTGTATGAAAGGAGAGTTTGAATGTATTAAGGAAAAGATCAATTTGATAGATATTTTGAGGAAGAATTCGGGGAGTAAGCATGTCCAGATAATTATGGGATATTTAAAGAAAACTACATTATTTCAAAGAATATGATTAAAATAGGTGTGTGTGTGTGAATGGGTGCATGATCTAGGGGGTCGGATTATAAATACATATATAAAAATGGATGAGAGTATGTAGGTATACATAAATAGGAAATTCATTTAGTTAAATTATATATTAAGGGTAGGAGTAGGAAGATACAAATACCTATATAAGTTGATAGTCCATATCGAATCACACTCCATACCAGCAGATGGCGGTAATGCTGCTTAAAGTTTGTTGCAAACCGCCAATAAAATCAAGAAGAAGAAGAAGACCTATTGCAAGCTGCGGTCTCGCGATACCTCTTTCCTTTGTGTGGAACGGACATTTCAGTGTGCGAGCGCTGAATTTATCGATATTTACTATCACGTGCCTCCCAAACATCAGATTAACATCAAATTTCGGGTCGATAAAGGTTACGCAGTTCAAACTGTGCTGCCCCTGCGTCCTTTCTACAGGTAAGAGATCTGATGGCTACTAGAAGTGTGAATTCCCGCCGTTAGCCCGGGAATGTGCGCGCGGTGCTAGCATATGCTAGCATGCAGCTACTGTTAGCTGCTGGCTGCCGTCGCCTTTAATGCTCCCGGCAGGTGTGAAACAAGGCTGGGGCAGAGCTCAATGATATGAACCGATTAGATTAGGCGAGAATACGAGCACGATTCTGGTCAAAAGTCAGTTTCTACGAGATGTTTCTGAAATTAGGTGAAAAACGTAATTGGTTGAAGAAACAATGGGCCAGTGACAGATGTGAAGACGGTTTAAGGGATTTGGCTAATGATGGGTTATGAAAGTAAAAGCCGAATCTGTGGGACCCTCTAGTTAATGAACGGTCGTCTAGGAGTTAGGCCACTGTGGTTGAGCTCAGGGCGCAGAAGATGCTGGGGGACCGGAAGTGGTTCTCCTGCAGTAAGGCTCCGTCTGATTGGCTGAATCTGATTGAATCTTTCTGCCTTCCAGACGCCGTGAACCGCCGAGTCTTCTCCATGGCCGTCAGACGTGGACATATCCGGTACCTGAAGGTGAGTGGACCCTTGAATCCTGGCGGCCATCTGGCCCGCTGCAGCAGTGTGTTTCCAGGGTGGAGGAGCTCAGGTTGAGGCTGACCTTAGAGATCCAGCTGGTTCCTGAGCGGCTCTGTTTGTGTTTTAGGTGTGTGAGGTTCAGACGCCGCAGAGTGACGTCAGAGACGCTCAGCTGGTGTCCAAAGGAGCCGGGGGAAAGGTGAGTGGAGGCGCGTTGTCCTGCGGCCGCCGCCGCCGTGTGTCCATGGTTACGGCGTGCCGCAGCTGAAGGTGTCTTTCCCGTAGGAGCTGTACGACAACGGCTTTGTGGAGCAGGTGATGGAGGACGACGACGCTCGGACAAACCTCATTGTGAACTACCTGCCGCAGAGCATGAGCCAGGACGAGCTGCGCAGCCTGTTCAGCAGCGTGGGAGACGTGGAGTCAGCCAAGCTGATCCGGGACAAAGTGGCAGGTAACCCCCCCCCCTCGTCTCCGGCTGAGCCTGCGCCGGCCCCCGTGTTGTCCCAGCAGAGCCGAGCCCCTGGAGCCCGGACCAGGTCTGTGGGACCAGGTCTGTGGGACCAGGTCTGTGGGACCAGGTCTGTGGGACCAGGTCTGTGGGACGGGTCGGGCCAGAGGGGCTCGGTTCTGCTGGGTTCGGATGTTTGATGCAGGGAAACCAAAGTTAATTTGTTCTACTGCTGTTTGCTGACTGAAGATTTTGATACACCAACTGTTTTTCAACATTTCCTGTTTTTTTTTTCTTTCTTTTTTTGTTTTTTTTTAGGATGCTAATATTTTTATGTTTTCTGAGCGTCGGATAATTTTCTTTACATTTTTTAAACTCATGTCTTTGTTTTTTTGGGGTGTTTTTGGTTCATTTTTAAAATTTCTGATAACGTTTGTCTCGCTGTTCAAGTTGTTGTAATTGTTTTGTTATTTTCAAACCGGGTTTGATGATGATTGCTTAACAGAAATTTGATGTTTTTTGTTTTCTCACCCTCAAGAGTGAGGCCATTTTTTAAACTTCTGTTAGACTTGAATTGTTTGATGTCACTGACATGATTTAGAAACTTCTCAGGTCTCAGACCACGTCATTTATAGAGTAAAATAGTTTTTTGTTTTGAACTTGTAAAATCTGTTTTTCACCTGTCTCGTTTTATTTTTCAGGCTTTTTCAGTGTTTGTAAAACATTTCTTTAACTTTATGAGGACCCTGAAGTTTTTGTTCTGAGCAAATCCGAGAAAATGTCGAGTGGCGTCTCTGCCCTGGATGTTTCAGTTTCTTCTTCTTCTTCTTCTTCGGCCTTCTTGGCAGAAGAGCGCCGGGTCTCATGACTTTCCACCGCCGTGATCCCTCAGCCCAGCCTCTTAGTTTTCCCGTAAACAGTGTATATTTTATGATGTGTGTAGTAACAAAGTATTTTCTTGGTTTGTTCAGACTGTTGATTTGCTTAGTGAAC